AACAAATGTCCAGGGCCCGGAGACGGTGAAGGGAGGGGGACGACTCGCCGCACAGGCCGGGGAGGAATGCCACCCACCAGCCAGCTGGGAGACGCTGGCTGCGCTCTTTTTGCGTCTCCAGACTCCATTTCCTTTTTGTGCAATGGGTATCTTTGCAGGACCGCTGGGAGGACTTCGGAGATGGTAGGAGTTCATGCTGCGTGCCTTATAAGGGCACCGAACCTGGGAGCTGCTATTACTATTATTATTAGAACCGGAATCAGCCCTGGGACGTCTGCCTTTCCGACTGCCGGCTTCCAGGCGAATCCTGCTTTACACCAAAAGGGGACAATTCCGATATCTAAAAGCAAACCACATTCCTGGGAGGAGGCAGGTGTGTTACAGACAGAAAGGATTACTCACGGTACCCAGGTACCCACTCCTGGGTAAATGGAAAAATCCGGACTGCTGTGACGCGGAGTGGGTTTTGTTAGAGGGGTGATCTCTGACGCGGGGGGTCCCTGTGTACTCCCCTCCTGCCGCCACTGCCTGTGCTCCTGGCCGGCCTCTCCCGTGGGTCCCCAGAGGCCCCGTGGCCAGCGGATGACCAGGTACACCAAGGAGGCCCAGCTCTGCAGTGAGAGACCCAGGTTTCTGCGTGAGCCCCAGTGCATGTGAGCTGAGCGGCCTTTGCCTCAGCTGCAGTCACACGAGGCGATCAGTACCCGCCTCACATGACCGCCACGTCGGGGTCCGTGAGTCGATGCTGTAAAGGAAAGCACCTGGTCTGACGGTGCGGTGTCACTAGCATCCCTGTCAGCTGGGAGGCCTCCCCGCAAGGCAGGGGCCCGTGAGAGAGGAGACCCCGCGAAAGCCCCTGTTCTCAGTTCTCTGATTCGCTCCCTGCCCTTGTCCACACACACAGTTCCAACCTGGTTGTCACCGCCCTCTGGCTAGGATGTTGTGTCCTATGTTTTTGACAAAATCACCAAATGCTCTCATTTCGTGTTACTTACTGTGCGTTCCAATTAGAAGGATTTCAGCTGCAGATGAAAGAATGCCGGGCTCAGCGGCTGCAACAACAAAGGTGTTTATCTTGTGTAGCAACTCCAGGAAAATATCCCAAGGTTGGCCGTTCCCAGGGCGCCAGCTTTTTATCTTTAAGACTTGCCCCTCAGGGTGGCCTCATATCCACAACCTGCTGGTGGCCAGACAGAAGGTGAGGCGGTTTGCTTTTTCCTTTTTCAGCGAGGGAGCAAATTCCCTCCCCCAGTCCCCCTAAGACACCTCCACGTATATACCCGGGACTGGGACAGGGCCACCAGCCCACTCCTAGCCCAACCCTTGCCCAGGGGAAACAGGATGCTTCTGCTGAGGTCCACCTGCCACAGCTCACGCCTGAGGCGGAGGGAAGGGACTCACCTCGAACAAGAGTAAGTAAGCAAGAAAGGGAAAGTGGCTGCCACTTTACAGTATGAGCCCCCCACTGATGACAGGAAGGGACTGGGGCCCAGAATGGTTAAGTCCCTCATCCAAGGACACATGTGACTTCGCAGAGGGCCCAGGAAGGAAACCCAGCCACCAGCCCAGCAAGCTCCATCACTTTCCCGCATGCTTTCTCAACTGGCTGTGGCCAACTCTAAGCCCCCAAAGGGCAGGAGCCCTGTCCCCAGGCCTCTCTGAGCTTGGCCAGAGACATGACGGGACAAAACCAACACTATTACAGAAGAGAGCCTCCAGCGGGCCCAGATGCGCCTCACCCACATCCAAGCCCCACGGCCGAGGAGCCAAAGCCCTTCCTGCCCCTCGAAAGAGCTTGGCAGGCGAGTCAGCCGGAGCCCGGAGCCTGACAAACAGCATCTCTGTAGCTGCCTGGACACCCGCCAAGCTGCCTCATTCCCCAGGGCTGACCTCATGTTTCTGAAGAGCCTCAAGAAGCCTGAGGCCTGTGTGTTGCCTCTCCCGGCTCAGTTCTGCCGCCAGCAAAGGAAATGGCTCAGGCTGGGGGCCACGCAAGGAGGAGGGGACACAGAGCCCCGGCCCTCCCCAGCCCCCACCGCTGCCCTGCCAGAGCCTTGTCTGTGCCCCGCAGGCCCATCCCATTGGAAACCGAGCAAAAACACCCTCTCACCTCGGTGATGAGGGCTGTCCTGACTGGATCGCCATCCTCCACCAACCCGAGGCTGGCCCTTGAAGGCACTTTCACACTCTGGCTATTTCTGTTGTTTCAGACTTCTAGAAAGGGAACAAAAGGCAGGCTTCATCGGAGGTGCTAAAAACATCGCTGAAGTCAGCTCCACCACCTCAGAGAGAGCTGGGCAGTTCGAGGCCAGGCTGCGGCCTGTGCTGGGCGACAAAAATGACTGTCCATTTAACCCAGAGCTGAACCAGACACCCCCCCCGCCCCCCCCCCCAGGCCACCCAGTGCCCTGAGGCCAGCATGTGCCAAAAAACAAAAGGCTTCATGCTCTTTGGGCTGCACGTCCAGATGTCCTCTCCGGTCAAGGACCTACTGGCATACGACAGCGGACAAGGCCAATAGCAGACAAGGTGAGCAGCCTGGGGAAATCGCACGGAGCACAGAGCCAGCACCGCCCCCACCCCCCGCCGCCACCTCCCCCAAGACACATGAGCTCCCTTCCACCTCTTGGCAGAGCACCTTCTGGAGATCGTCGCCACCCACCCACGCTGCAGCTCTAAATCAGGGCATTTGTTCTTATCCATGTGCACTTAAAGGTTTTCATCCACCTTGTAAAACCACAGGCTGACAACACCGAGAGTGGAGCAGGGCCTCACCTCCGGCCATCCCCTCGCTGGGCTGCCCAAGACACAGTAGCCGGTGGTTTTAAACTCTCCTTGCAGAAGTTGTCCTCAGAGCTTGCGACGTCGGCATACCTTGAAAGCGTGCAGGCCGCAGGACTGTGCGAACAGAGTGGAATTTTCCATTTATAGAATAATAACCTTCACACCCCTCTGGGGGCCTCGTTCTCGTGGTAGGAGCTCAGAGTTGTGTCAGCAAACCTGCCACGCTTCTGCAGGAGCCCCATGCCTCACGGGCTCTTTTATTTATTTTTGGTGGGAGAAGGAGAGGAAGTAAAGGAATGACTTTTTCACTTGGGTGCCAACACAAACTTGAAAAAGGAACCGGGTTGGCGAGTGCAGAGCATTACTGCCTGGTTTCAGGACTTAAACCAAGCTTTAGGGAGGAGGAAGTGAGGAAGAGACTAGGAAAACATATCTTCAACCCCTCACAGGGACAGGTGGCCAGAACAGGCATCACGTTACTGCCTCGAGGCCTTCCCTGTGCCTGCCGCCCGGCCCCTAGATGGCCCCTGAGGGCAGCGGCCCAAGCCAAAGGCATGGCCCCTTTCTCCAGTGCACCCTGTGTTCTGCACTTGATTTCTGCTGATGCACACATGGACTCTTGGTGTGAAATACCTTCGGGGTCCATGGTATAGCAGGAAGGCCACCAAGCCAGGCATGATGGGACCCAGTCCTTGCTAGCACATACTCACCGTGTAACCTAAAAGAAGTCCTTCTCCACATCTCATTTTCTTCACCTGTACAGTAAGGCGGGATTGGCTAACCCCAGAGACCCCTTTCACCGCCGACTTGCTGATCCACTCGTTTATTCTAATGGTAACTGGTGGCAGCAGAGGTTCTGGGCATCCTCCCCTGGGCCGTTCTAAAGCTGCTGGGCGTGGCTGGAGCAGTAAAGGAAAGCCCCGCCCTGCCAGCCCTGCCACCAAAAGAAGCATGTTCCCAGTCGCACAGAACCTTACAAAGGACCCTTCCCAGGACCTTTCCATGAAAACACAAAAAAGTGTTGTCCCTCCTCGTGGGAAGGGTATGACCACTGCACACCCTCCTAATCAAAAATCTTCTGATATTTTCCCGTTGCTTTTATGAAAAATACTGTATTCGTTTCAAAGTATTAAATTGTAATGTTAAATATGCTTTGCTTTTCAAATGGCACATACACCTCAGATTTCGATATAGCCCCTGGGGGGGATGGGGCGGAGTTGCTCTCTCACACAGGCACCCTCAGTCCTAGGGCTGGAAGGTGTTCTGGCTCGCTTCCCATCCTGTCCTAAGTCATCAGTTACTGGCCACCCAGTCTCTGAACTCTTGTTGGGAGGCCGCTGTGGGAAGTGCTGCGTCCCTCGACTACTTACTAAGGCGAGAACCCTAACCTCTGTGAACCTCAGGATTGGGCGGGGATCTCATCCAGCTGAAATCTCTCTAAAGTGCTGTGCAAACGTTAAGATAACTTGATTGTTGGGTGGCTCTGACTCCAAAACAATATCGTTAGATCGCACCCAGTCCTACCTCCCCACAGCTTTTCTCGCTGATGCTGGTGAGAGAAGGGGCTTCTGGCCTGGGGATTGGAGGCTGGGAGGCGGGTGCGTGAACCTTGGGGCCACTAGGTCAAGGGAGCCCAACGCCTGGTCACCTGTTGAAACCCAGGTCCTTGTCATCTGTTCAAACCCAGGGCACAGAGCTCAGGCGAGGGCGGGCTCCAGCAGCCACCCCTCCCGGGTCTCCTCTCCCCTACTTACCCCTCCTGGCCGCGCTGCGCGGGCAGGGCACGCCCCTCCCCCGGTTTCACCAATCAGCGTCCGGAGCGGCACCCATAGCGCAGGGGGCTTCTGGTCGGCAGCCAATTAGCGCCGGGGCCCGTGGCGGCGCCTTGTCCACCCCCTCCCAGAATGAAAGCCACCCCGCAGCTGGCGAGGCTAGCGCAGCGCGCTGGGCGCGAGAGCCTCGCGGTCCGGAGCGGAGCGCGCGCCCGCCTCCGCTCCGCCTCCGTCCGGGGCGCGGGAGAGGTGGCCGGGGAGGGGGAGTGCAGGGGGCAGGGCTGCGGCGGCGGCGAGGCCGGGAGGCGGGGAGGAGCGGGGCCTGATAAAAGGCAGCCAGGCGGCCCCACCCCCGCGGCAGGCCAGCGGGCAAGCTCTGCGCGTCCCTTCCGTCTGGCCCGCGCCGGCGGCGGGGAGGCGGCGCGCGCGGCCTGCAGCCCGCCCATGGAGGCTTTCCCCTGGGCGCCCCACTCGCCCCGCCGCGGCCGCGCCCCCCCGCCCATGGCGCTCGTGCCCAGCGCCCGCTACGTGAGCGCCCAGGGCCCAGCGCACCCGCAGCCCTTCAGCTCGTGGAACGACTATCTGGGGCTCGCCACGCTCATCACCAAGGCGGTGGACGGCGAGCAACGCTTTGGTTGCACCCGCGGAGAAGACAGAGACGGCGGCGGCTGCTCCCCGCCCTCCTCTTCCTCCTCGTCCTGCTGCTCCCCTCATGCCGGGACCGGGCCCGGTGCGCTGAGGCCGGTACTGGGGCCGCCGGACTACGAAGAGGACGACGACGACGACGACAGCGACGAGCCGGGGTGCCGGGCCCGCTACCTGGGGGGCGCGCTGGAGCTGTGCGCAGGCCCCGCTGAGGCCGGGCTGCTCGAGGAGCGCTTCGCCGAGCTGAGCCCGTTCGCCGGTCGCGCCGCCGCGGTGCTGCTGGGCTGCGCGCCCGCCGCTGCAGCCACCGGTGAGGTGACGCCGCGCGAGGAACGGGCGCCGGCGTGGGCGGCCGAGCCCCGGCTGCACGCAGCCTCCGGGGCGACAGCTGCCCGGCTCCTCAAGCCTGAGCTGCAGGTGTGCGTGTTTTGCCGGAACAACAAGGAGGCAGTGGCGCTCTACACCACCCACATCCTGAAGGGACCCGACGGGCGGGTGCTGTGCCCCGTGCTGCGCCGCTACACGTGTCCCCTGTGCGGCGCCAGCGGCGACAACGCGCACACCATCAAGTACTGCCCGCTCTCTAAAGTGCCGCCGCCGCCCACCGCCCGGCCGCCCCCGCGGAGCACCAGGGACTCCCTGCCAGGGAAGAAGCTGCGCTGAGCCGGGCCTGCTGCCACCTGACGCCACCAGGGTCACCGCCTGCCCACTCTCATTTTTGGTCTGCGCACTCTCTCTTCCTTGCTGTTGGGGAGGCGTGCAGCTCAACAGTTGCTTCAACTTGGGGTGTCGTCTTGGTTTTTTCAAAGCAAGCCGGCCGTTCGGAGTACTGCGGTTTGAGTCAAGACGCTAAGATCTTGATTTATCTCTAGTTTCTAGTTTGTGCACATCCGGACAGTGAAGGCTGTGTGTTTCCACTAACTGAAATATGGCAACTTAGAGCCGCTGTTTATTTACTGTACACGTCGACCTATTTTAGATGCTCATCAGTATGAAATTGTCTCAATCTAATCTTGGATGTTTAATTTTATTAATGGAGGCACTTTACTAGGTCTAGAATATTTTTTTAAAAGCCTCTTAATTGAATTTAAAACTGATTTTATGGAACGTAGGCAAAATGACTTTTATTGTTTGAAACATTTTTTAGTTGTCCTTAATCAGTTATTATAATTCCAGGTGAAGCAAGCCCCTGGCAGCATCAGTCTTGAGAAGTGAAGATTTAGTAAACTTCAGTATTAATTTGAGGGGGTATTCCCTCCTTGTGGCTTGTTTCTGTCCTAGCTGGAGGTATAAAAACGCACAATCTGTAGCAGGTAGAATACAGTTTATTCTCTTAGGTACCAGATCTTTTATTACTCAACTAGCAACTAGCATTTTTCACCTTTAAAAATTGTGCCGTTATAATCATATTGTGTATACACTTGGAAATGGTGCTGTTTAAAAAAATTGACTTGTGTATTTATACAGTAACAGTATATGAATTCATTAATCTTGCCTATAACTTTGCTACTTGGTTTTTTTTGTCTATGTACCCACCCCCACTTCCAGTTCTTTAAAAACATTTGTGATACTAAGATCAAGAGGGCGTCGAATTGACCCTGAATCAATTTCCGGGTTCCTAAATAGTGGAAAGCTCATTACAGCTGTTGCCCCTCTAAGTGAAAGATGAAATCCTTTGCACTCTGGAAGGTTAATGTAATCTGTTCAAGAAGGTTCCACTCCAGGCTGCCTGGCTTTAGCGTGTCTAACCTTTTGGTGGGCCACACACTAAACATATTGTGACACGTGATCACAAAAACCTCAATGGTTCAAGTTTACGATTTTCTGTTGGGTCGCATTCACAGCCATCCTGGGCCACATGCAGCCCGCGGGCCTTGAGTTGGACACTCTTAGATGGTCCTCACACCAGCAGTTAATCATGGAGTTGGGGGCTGGAGAAATGGAACAAAACCTATGTTCCCATTCTCACTGGAAGACCCCAGTGTTTCTGGAACCCCACCAGTTACACATAAATGAGGTTAAACCTGATCCTTAGGCGAAGGTTCCTAACCATTACTTTATCTACCACCCTCATTTTTAAATTCCCCAAGTTGAATGCCACACCAAAACAGGTAGCTCTGAAGACAAGAGTTAAAAATGGAAATAAAAATGAATTCACCTGAAACACAAAATGCGTAACCACCTGAAAATATCAGGAAGAGATTTAAGCTAAATATATAAAGATCATAGTAGGAGAATTTAGGTATTTAGAGGTTGGACTGCTTTCGTATTAAAGAACCAACCTCCACAAGCAGCTGGCTTGAACACTTTTGAAGGTGTACTAGAGGCTGGGGAAGATAACCCTGGGCAGCTTGTGAGCCTTTTTGTTAGAGGAAGGTGCATCAAAACAAGGGAGAGGGATGGGAGACACGAATACTGTTTCTTAGGAAAAAAAAAAATCCACTCCTGCCAGTCTAGCTCCAGATGGTTCAAAAGTGACTGGGCCTAAACACCAGTAGCTTAATAGAGCCACATAATCACTCGTTTTGCTAGAAAGTACACCAGCTTTAGTTGTGCTTTGGGGGTACTTTCAGGTCAATATGAATTCATTACCCCTCCCACTGCTGTTCTACCTTTTCAGCAGTAACTATAAACAGATCAGTGTTCTCCAGGCCAGGAGTAGGAGACAGGCAGTTTTCTTTGTATTTTTAAAAAGAGCCAAACTACAGTCAGTTTCCAGGTCCCAGGCACGCAGCTTTAGTAGATCTTCACAAAAACCGCTTGGTGGGATGTGCCTAACTGGGAACCCATTGAAAATGGATTTTAGTCACGGTCAGGAGTGCTGGGAAGGGTATCCAGAAGGTCCTCAACCAGTCTGGCAACCATTAACCCATTTAAAACACACCCCCATCCCAAATTTGCCTTTTCCAGCTAACATTAAAATACTGGGAGTTATATGAACAGAGGGTACCACCACCGTTAATTTTTTAAAACTCTCTTATGGAAAGTAACCACCCTCACATATTACATTGGCCAAGAAGTTCACTGTTTCTTCTGTAAAGTAAGACATTTTTAATTTTCACCAGTAACCTTACTGATTTGGATATTTTGAGTACGTTAGCTCTCTCCAGCTATTGGCTTATAGTGGGGAAGAGGACAGGGGTGCTACTAAACATCTTCAGATGCATAAGACCCCCACCCACAGCAAAGAATTATTTGGCCAAAATGTCAAACTTCGCAAACCACTTTTAACACGTTCAGTCAGTCCCGGCATCTTCTCCATACACTGCACAAATCTTTTTTTGCATTTCAGTTGCATTTTTACTTTTCCTGAAATAATAAAGCATAATATACCAGAAATGTTGCATATGCTCTTCCATCTTCAGTATTAAAACTGCACAAAACTTTATCAGTTTTGATGTTTTTTTCCAACCCATGCTTGATATGACAGCTGTCCCAATACAATCTAACAAAATTGTTTCCAATGCAGTTAAAGACAGCTAAGTGCTACTAGAGCTACTAAATCCATTGCATGGAAAAAATTAAACTTTTTGGCCAAACCAATATTTAAACATAACCTTCCAATTCTTCAAAGTTTAAAAACCAGTGTGAAAAAAATTTCCCTAAGACCATACTATAGCCCTGGCTGGTGTGACTCAGTGGATTGAGTGTCAGCCTGCAAACCGAAAGGTTGCTGGTTCCATTACGGTCAGGGCAGGTGCCTTGGTTGCCGGCCAGGTCCCCAGTTAGGGACCTGCGAGAGGCAACGTTTCTCTCACATACTCATGTTTCTCTTCCTTTTTTTCTCCCTCACTTCCCCCGTCTCAAAAATAAAACCTTAAAAAAAAAAAAGAAAAAGGCCACACTACACACTTAGCTAAAAACAAAACGACGTATGGAATCCTCAGAAGAGCCTTACCAACTCTGGAGGCCCAGGTTGCCTTAACCTGCCTGTCCTCTATAGTGACATTTCCAGGGGCTTTTTATGTCTTTTAATTATCCTGTGAAGTCCTTTCTGGAAGCTTCAGAATTACTAATTTTGACTACATTTGGTGTTCATTTATTATAAATAAAATTACTTTTTAAAATTATACCACAAATATATGTACTCTAAGGGAAAGAAAAGTTTTAGTCATTTTCTAGTCTGCTCTTAGCCCAACATGAAACATACTTTCTAGTGTCCCACACGTCAATTAGCCTTGTAAAATTATAAATCGAAGAGTCAAAATAGTAAGAAACAAAGTCCTTGACATAAAACACATCGCCCACAGACAGATGCCAACTTCCTCCTGGTGGCCACTGTGGACAATAATGGGATTGCAGTTTTTGTCTGGCCACTGTCTCCACCCACCCTTATCCACCTGTGTTAACAGTAGCAGTACTCACATTTAAAAATGCAGCAGCCACTGGGAACATGGGAGGCTTCTGCGCGTTAGTAAGTAGGTTGCTTGGTCAGCTTTGACACCTGTGAAAAATACGTGCACATTGGGGAGGGGGGATGGAGTTCAGGTGCAGGACGTGTAAGCTCAGAGCAGGTTACTGCCAGCTTTTTATTGGTTACAAAAGAGAAGGCCCTTTCCTCACAAGATCTTTTAAAGACTTCTACTTGTTTGAAAAGATAGCTAAATATTTAAAAAGTGCTTTCCATCACTGGTAACATCAAACAGAAAAGGCCGCATCTGAAATATTTAAGTAATACTCCCTCTTCTGGCCTTATAGCTGTACCAACAAGAATTTTCACCACACTCAGTATCAGAAATAATTTAAGTGCCTACAGTCTAGCAACTAAAGAGTCTCTGAATTACAATTTTTCTAATTTCGGGGGATAACCCAAGGTGGTACACCACACACACTCCATGCATACAAGCTCACAGACGACGACGACGACGGTACAGGGAACTAAGGAGTCCACGTTAATGAAGGAGGCCGTCCTGGCGACACATCCTGTCCACGTCTGCCTGACAGTACACTTAAGTTATTTTCTTTGCTAGTAAATACTAAAGACACTGGGACAGGTAAAATTCAAGTAATAAAAAAACATGACTATGCAAATTCATCATTATAAAAAAAAACACTTTAAATGTAACCACAGATAACACAGAAACAAATTCTGTAAGTATTTTATTTATCATTAAAGAAAAAACACAGCAGCAAGTTCTGTGTTGGCTTCAATGAGACCAAGGTTAATCCTGAACACAGCTACTACACCCCAAAATTGAAGTCAACACAGTCATTACTACAAATTACTTGGTGAAAGAATCTATCCTGAAAAGAAATTAAGAAAAAGAATTTAAACAATTCCTCCAAACAGCACACTTATAAATATTGTCATATTTAAAATGCTTGAAAGGCTGAATTCTCTCCATTAATGGAAAAGCAGTTTGCTATTGGCAACAGAAAAAAACTCGGCAAAAGTTTACCAAATGCTTTAAAATTTAAAAGCACTAACTGTCTTGGATTCACATGTGAGCAGTATTGTCATTACAATAATAACTGCAAGTTGCTTTATACTCACCTTCTCTCCAGTAAAATCTACAGAAAATCCCACTGCATCTGATGTTGGTAAAGTTTACTGCACTTATAGTGAACCTAAAAACTGTTTATATTTAGTTGATACCTCAAAACACCTAGAGGCATGTCTCAGCTGCTAATGGTGTGAAAACTGTTTCAGCCCCCTGCTTTAAAGAGTCTTGAAATACATTTTCTATAATAGAACCTTATCTTATTCCAAATTAATACCAGATATTTCAAAAATCAAAAGAAAAAATATCAGTTCTATACCAAGATACGGGTATTACTCAATACCGAAGGGTTCACATTTTAAATTTATTTTTTAGTTTTCCTTTTTTGTAAACAAGTGATTGATGAAATAATGCAACACCTTAAATTCCAGAAAATGGCATGGTTTTCCAACCTTCTGTGGAAACGGTGCATGATCAATCTATTATATAGGATTAATACAAGTTCATGCTTTTGTGTTATGGTGAGACAACATTAACGAATCCAATTTAAATTGGTTGAAGCACAAGTATAATAATCCTTGGATGTGATCAAACCTATGTAAGACATGAGTTTGAATCCATTATTCTGAAACTTAACGTCGTACTGTAGTCCATCCATCTTCATCAGTCTCATTTTTAGTACGACGAAGAGATTCCTTATCTTTCTCAGCTCTCCACGAGGCCTTCTCTTTTTCACCTTCTCTTTCTCGGTCTCGGTCTCTTTCTCGATCTCTAGAAAGAGCTGGAGGAGGAACACGACGAGGGGTATCCCGCTCTTCCGCCCGGTCATCTTTCCTGTCATCGGAACGTCTCCAAGAACTTGCTAAAAAATTAAAGAGAGAGAATGAGTCTACTA